TGGCCATTCCTCATGGCACTGTCTGTAGCTGAGCGGGCAGAGTTTCTGTGGAGACATGCCATGTCCCTTGTGTCTGTATGCCTGTCAGAGTCCAATACTCTCTGACCAGGTTCTTTTAGTTATTCTACACATGAAGGGTGTAATATTTAAGATAAAAATTTACTTATTTGAAGATATTTGATGTTACATGGGATTTTGATTTAGCAGAGTGATACAGCAATATACTGAAATCACATTACCAGTGTAAGTTACACTTAGAAAAATATAGCTACTGTAATATACAGTTCAATCACAATACACATGTGATCCCCATTACAGGTCTCTATAATATGCTCACCATCACGATGCTGGGCATCCCCAATTGCCAGAAAGGAATATGTGGGTAGAAACCAGCTCTCTTCAAAATTCTTTTGTTATTTGTTCAGCTTTTATACTCTATATTGGGCTGAGCCATATGTACGCTTCCGCTCATGCTGATCGAGCTAACTCAGGGAGACTTTCACACTTTTGATGAAATCAAGGAAAGCATTTACACCTGTTAATCCATTCAACTAACATAGCTGTTTATGTACAAAAAAGTCTACCTTCAGGTCTCCTTTGTGTTGAGAAAAAGTTAGCTTTCTGTGCAACAGCTGTTAATGAGTCACATCCTACATTATTCCTGAGCTTCATGGGCACCTCACCCTTGCCCATCTCCTCTGACCCTTCTTCCATTGTAGGGATTTAGTGGACGGTCACAGTGCCACCCCAAGCTCCTGCCCATCTGTGTTGGTGCCCAGTTGTTAGGGCGTACAGACTGAGGTAGTTGCAGCGTATCAGATTTGGCAGTCTAGGTGGGTGAAAATTACAAACAGTGCAAGGGATGAATGATAGAGTGCTAAATCTGCACCAGGCCAAGAGGATCACCTGCTGGAGGCACCTTTGAGTTCAGAGGATGATGCTCACAAAGCCATCCTGGCTTTCCTGGCAGATGAACAGCCCCTTTGGCAGAGGGAAAGGGCTGTCAAATGTCAGGAGTTGCCTGGGAGTAGCCTGGCCTGGGATTCCCAGAGGGGGCTGGCTGGGAGCTGCAGTCAGGGCCACAGCAAGTGACAGCCAGGGGGGCATGGCAAGGGATCTGCTTCAGTGCAAACTGGATAGCTGTGGAGAGGGGCATGTGGGCCTGAGAGGGGGAACAGCATGGAAATTGCCTCCTTCTTTGTCCAATGCCTAACACCACATGCAGTTGGCCACATGTACTAAGGGCCACAGCTGCCCTGCAACCCCAGGCTATGTTGAATTAGAATCGCTCTGTGGCTTGTCGAAAGTGAGTACATTAATGCTGCAACATGGTGTTGATAGGTCTAACATGGCCAGGGTGGACTGTGCTGCACATGCATTTAACTGTTTTGTGTAGGAAAGCTCATATCACCTGGGTGTGCTGGACCTATTCCACTTACACGTCACTGCTTGTCTGCCACAGCTGCAAACAGCTTTAGCAGAGACCATGCTGGGAGCTGGGCACTGCTGCCTGCCCAGGGCTGCACACCCTCATCCCGCGAGCCGTGTTCTGCAGGGGCTCGCTCTGGACGTCCCATCCCAGCACCCACAGCTGCTGCCTCCGCTCCCGCTCACAACCCCCTGCGCTGGCCCTGCTGCTGGCACGGACCACACCGTGACGACCCAGCGCTCCGGAACCGGCACCTCTGTGACATCGGCCTCAGCGCCACGGCACCGGGCCAACACGGACACTGCAGGCACCGTGCTCGGCTGCCGCGATGGTGCAACAAGGCCTGGGTGCCCACAGCTGCCTCGTGCTGCTGGGAAAGATGAATTTGTTCCCCCTCCTCTTGTTGCTGGCCGTGTGCTGGCCCGCACACCACACATATGACAGTTGTGGGTAAGTGGCCGGAGGCTTTGGGAGAGCGTGCTTGGGGGAGCCTCGCAGGGAGCCTGCTTGCCCCCACGGCCACACGGGAGGCTCCCAGGCCCCGTGCAGGAGGCTCAGCTCCTCTCCAGCACCCAGCTCCCAGCACATCTCGCTGCAGGGCTACAGCTGCACACCACACAGGGTGCCTTGGCCCTGCTGTCCACACACTGCCTCATGGGGAGGGGATCAGGATGGACACCGCATGACTTTCAGCCTGAGTGGAGCGGGGAGCAGTCGAGCAGCAACTAACAAGTTTCTGATTACAGAGGAACCTGCGGGATCCGATCGGTGACTTCTCAGTACAGCACAACGCGCATCGTGGGTGGCACGAATGCGCAGCCAGGGTCCTGGCCCTGGGCCCATGGAATCTTACTATAGCATGATGCGCGTCGTCGGTGGCATGAATGCGCAGCCAGGGTCCTGGCCCTGGATTGTCAGCATCCAGGTCCCCTGGCTAATAGGCACCAAGCACTTATGTGGAGGGTCCCTCATCAGCCCACAGTGGGTCCTCACAGCAGCTCACTGCTTCAAAGACTCCGGGTAAGGAGGCTCAGGGAATGGGGATGTCCCCACAACACAGGCACGTGCCCTGGCTGCAGCACCTCAGCCTCTTCCCAGCCACCTGCTTTGCAGCACACCTAGTGCCTGGGCAATTAAAGTACCCCAGCTGAGAGGCTGCTTGTGAGGAGGCTGGGCTTGCGCCACTGCTTCTAGCAGCCTCCGTTCTACCTTCCCTGTGCCAAGGCATGCTGGGGCACTATGCCTCCACACAGGGCTGCCCTTGCATCCCTCTCCTCCCTGTAAAGCTGACAGTAGGATCTGCCATGCTCCTACAGTGCATGGCTCTACTCTCTCTCACTCCTCTCTCTATCTCCCTTCCAGCGATATCGAGCTGTGGCGTGTAGTGATTGGTGCAACCCGCTTGTCTCAGCTGGGCCCTGAGACACAAGTGCGCAGCATTAAGCAGCTAGTGGTGCACGAATACTATAATAACCGCTCACAGAGAAATGACATTGCATTGCTGGAATTGGACCAACCTGTGCAGTGCAGCTACTATATACAGCTTGCGTGTGTGCCCGATGCCTCGCTGAGAGTGTCAGAGCTGTCACCCTGCTACATCAGTGGTTGGGGTGCCACACAGGAAGGATGTGAGTTCCCAACAAGCGGTGGCTGGTGTTCCCTGAGAGCATGCTCGGTGCACTGTCGAGCTAGGGGCCGGGCTACCCTGATAGCAAAGGCAAACCCCAGGGTCAAGCCAAAGGGACATATGCTTGAAGAAGGATGGCCTTCGTCCCACAACCCAAAGCAAGGCAGAAGGGAAGCCTCAGTAAATATGCCCCTCAAGATCCAAAGCCAGCTCTTTGGGAAACCATTCACCCAGACAGGGAGGGAGAACTGGCAACAAGCTGCCAGGTGCCAATTCCTTTATATGCCCACAGCTAGGAGACGACCTGATGTTCTGCAGGAGGCCATGGTCCACCTCATTGACACCCGCATCTGTAACAGCAGCCAATGGTATGGCGGGCTTGTCAAGAACAGCAACTTGTGTGCTGGCTATCAGCAAGGTACCATCGACACTTGCCAGGTAGGAGAGTGCAACAAGTCAGCCCACAGCAGTGGGTGCAGCCTCG